CAGTGATGTAGCCAGTCAAGATGCTCTCAATGGTGCAGCTGTGTAACTTTTTGAGGATTTGGCCAATGCCGACTCTTTTCAACCTCCTGAGGGGGAAGAGGCACTGGCTGTTGCGCCTTCTTCACGACTGTGTGCTTTCGAGTGGAGGGACAGTTGAGAGTTAACTCTTTGGGATGTGGTGAGTTAGTATGACAGACTCTAGCCCTGTTTATACCTGGTTCTAACATGCAGCCTTCGTCCCGATCTTGTCCATATTCTTATTGTGCCCACATGTTTTGATTATTAAAAGACGCATTGTGATCTGATTGTGATCAGATATTGTAAGTGTAAACAGACAAGGTCAGATCAGGTCAAGATCAGGATAAGTTCAGGATGAAGGACGCATGTTAGCGGCAGGTATAAACAGGGCTTGTATGTGGTAGTTAGTGGAGGGAGGGTATATTCTAGAAAGGTCATTACATTAAAAACACAGTCTAGAAAATCCATGTGTCAGTCAAGACAAAGTTAAACCGCAGTTTTTTTGGTTCCGTCTGGGATGTGATTGGCTCAGACTATCTCTTTGTAGTCACAGTGTGGTCTGAAGCTGCTGTCGACCTCTATGTCATGTCTTGACCGTTCGCAGTCTAGCTGAGCTTTGTTTAATCTTTCACACACACACACACACACACACAGTTAAAAAACATGTAAGTGGAGCACCATGTCAGGCCCAAGCGAACGGCCCGTTCTTCTGGATTCAATTACACGACCACATGATCCATCCATACACTCCTCTCCACAGCCTTCAGCCTCGCTCCTGGCAAAATCCCTCTCTCTCTCCTCCAAGAGAATACAAATATGCAATGTGTGATGTATTAACTCCGGGGTCCTGAGCACAGAGTTCCCACTGTTTTCCCCATGAAAGAGGCTCTTGTCCCCAATCAGGAGGAGCGCAGCAGTGGGTCCCCTGGCTCTTTGGGCTCTTTAATGATCCAGCGTGACCATGAAAAAGCCTCTGGATCCTCTTCGTCTCCAGGAGTCACCAGTAAAATATTGACTCCAGGAGTCAAACTGTAAAATATCCTTTATTGCTGAGGGGATGGATGGTTTCTAGGCTACAGTTGGGGAAGGGAGCTATATGGCTGGTTCTGAAATCAATACATTAGGGCCACTGTGAGATGTTTGTGACATGGGAATGAAAAGTGATACTCTTTTCACACGCAAATGATTGACTGAGGGATATGTTCACAGATTAATGTGAGAGAGGTGAGCATTTCCATATAGCTACATGTATCGCTTTTATTTCAAAGAAGTAAATGGAAAAACAAACAAATTCAAAGACAATAAACAACTGAAAATCTAATCAGACAAACAGAATGACGAGTTACCATTTTGCTGATAATGTTTCTGCAGCGTTTTGAGGTCCTGCTTACAAATATGTACTATAGCCTGTGAAAGCAGGCAAAGGCCAGTCAGTCAGATATAAAAATATATGTGTTTTCTGCTTGCTTAAATTGATACTTTATAATCACGCAACTTGCATGGTTTTAGTTACATGTACTTAATAACAGTGGTAACACAATAATGCATGTCCTGTACAATCCTTTGAAGTTTTGATATTTGATATTTCCTATGGACAAAATTATTAAGAAAAGTTGATAAGTTGAAGAGAGAAGGCTACAGATTTCCATATCATTTCACTTTGCTTCATGCAGTTAAGTGTTAAACAAACAACAACATCCACAGAGAAAAGGGAAATGACAAGCCAAGGTCAACTTTACAAAGTAAGTACTCATACTGTTGATACACAGAGCCTGGCACAAAGAAATCAAATGTAACATGAAAGCCAGTTCATTGACACATACAGAGTAAAGTAGCAAAACAATTTACATAAGCACAGCTTACAAACATATACCATTATACTGATAGAAAAACACTTTCACATGTAGAAAAAAAAACTGGTAAAGAGGAGACTGGCTGTACCGTTGAAACCCCATTTTTTTTTTTGAAAACATCAATAACAAATGTGTAGGAATCATAAGCACTCTCAAATAGCTCTCAAATAGCTTTTCAAACCTTGAAAGTGAAATGTTAGTCTGAATCTACAGCATAAACCACTGTCACTTATGTACTATAATATGCAAATTGATTGCCTTTTATTTGATATCAATATGTTGTATTCATATCCCATCCCCTCTAGTTCTGTGAGCTTCCTCTTGCAATTTAGTTACTATCATATGCATAAAAACATACACAACTATATTACTGTAGCTATCCCCCTAGTCTATTGACGCACCGGTGCATCAATATAATTGACATAATAAAACAAATCCCCATCAAAATCTCAGTTTAAGCTAGAGATATCTGTTTTTGCAGATGGCGGCCTTTCTCATATGCGGTGGAAGGTGGCTGAGCTACAGCGGTGTTTGACAGACCATGAGACATCCCGAAAATCGGTCTTTTCACGAAAACGGCTAAAGAGTCTGAACGGTTAGGCCTACAAAATGGATAGATGAGACTCTCACGAACATGATGGTGGTCTTCATTTTGCTCTACGACCCCCACAAGCCCCACGGGACTCATCTGAAGGTAACCGGTACCGGTTAAAAAAATTAATGGAAGTATGGAGGTAGTTGTGTGCCTACCCAAAAAAATAGGTTAAATATGTATTTTAAAAAACAAAAAAACAAAAAAAACTTTTTCATTTCCTGAGCTTTCGTATGTCTCCTATATATAGGACAGACACTATAAAACCTTATTCCTTATGATTTATTTTTTGACTGTCTTTTTTGCCATTTATGAATGTGTTATTCAATGCGTTTCTATTGGATTTGGTACTAAAGGCCAAATTATATATTTTATCAAATACTTATACCCCCCCACCCCAATATACCACACTTCGTAATTCAAGTTGGGACAAAGTCAACCCTTGCATCAAACCAATATAACATGTCTAGACTTTAAGTCATGTAATAGTGAATGTGGATTAAACCACAGGAAGATAATGAATGGAAGTATCAGTTTGTGTTGTATTTCTTCTGCTACGTAATATTTCCCAGTAACAATGAATGATACCATCAGACACTAGTGGTTTAATCTCTTGGCAAAACAGCAGAAAAGTAATGCACAACAACCTTGCATGTGAAATTATAAATAATGGTACTTTTTCTGAGAGTATTAAATTATCTAGAGGTGTAAGACAAGGATGTTCTTTATTACTTTTCTATTTATTATCGCGATTGAAATACTTGCTATATCGAGTATTCCACTATACCATGCCTTTATAATCAGAGAAGATGTAGCTACTCAGGGCCTTCCACAGAATAATAATACACTAATGTATCGGAGAAGCAGCGAAGGGAGGTATCAGTTCACAATCAAATGTGTTTGTCTGACCAGACTTCCTGCCCTTTTATAGGGAAACTTCCACAATGCTTTCAACCTTAATAGACAACGTTGTGATAAGAAAGACCAGATGACTAAAGCCATCGTGCCCTTTATGAAACAACAATGCATAGAAACATTATGATACGGAGCGTTGCTTACCCGTACGTGGGTGAGATTGAAGCTGACAACCATTGATTTGGAAGGAACCTAAAAGTGTGGCATTTACACTAGCTAGCTATTCGATAAGCACGCGGAAAAGATAGCTTAGCATTTATTTTTTTGCTGGTTTTACAGGTATGGTGCGTGCCTTTAGCAAAAGTCAGATATCCTCCTGAGACCCAGCAAAAAAAAGGATTCGAATTCTTATGTTTTTTGCATCACAAAATGTTTGAATTTATTTTGTATTGTATGTGCACTGTAGTGGTCATTAGGAATCGGTTGATAGTAAATATAAAAAAATTAACATTACAGTAAATGGGGACAGTTGGTAAAACACATAGTTAGCGATCCTGATGTCCACTAGAGAGGACATTTAGTCTTATTTAATGTGGAAAACACATCACAAAAATGATAATAACACAATAAAATGTGCTCATTTTGAACCAGATTCTTTTTTTATCAGGATGACACCCCCACATGTGATATCATAGAAAATCCCAGAATGTCTTCTCAAAGGGACAACAGGACCTAACACAGTGTATGGCCTTAGAGATACGGACCAAAAATGAATAACCATTAGAGAGGACAAAAATTAATTCATAGCTCTGTTAGGAGCAGAATGACAACGTAATGCTCCCTTAACAGTTTGCTTGGGTTCAAAAAGCTAATTAGTTTGCCAACAAACCATGACTGACAGAATTGTGAAAGAATGTACTCTCTAAAGACCAGAAAATCCAATGCCACAGGAGAGAATCTTGATTTGAAGAAAAGGGCAACTCAGGACGAGCTAGATACTGTACTTAAATTAAAATGGTTTGTATTCTGTATTACACAACATATTTAAAAAAATATGGAAAGAAAGAGGTCAACAATCTCCTTTATGGACTGTAGCTGGCTAATTTTAATCAAACAGAAAAAATATTGTACTCGTATTCTCAGTACCTTGGTTCAACTTAGCCTTACTTGACCTCACTTACATTGCATAGATTTGATTGGTACTGCATCACATACAATATTGAGGAAAAAAGTATTTAAATTATAATGATACAATGATGAGATTCTTACATGAATACATAGTTGTGTGCATTGGAGAAATATGGAAGAAATTAAATACAATTGCTTGCCACTGTCAGCACTCTCCCCCAGTTATGTTCGGCGTTGTAGTGGAAAATGGATACATTGCAGGTTTATGAAAAGAGTCCATGAAATTACTTTCAATTTCAGTCCATGTAATACTAGTATGGAATACAGTTTAATATAATACAAACACACTCCCACACCAATGAGAAGAACCACAGTTTAAAAACAAGTTCTACTTACTTTCCACTGGTTCTGGACACACAACACATGCAAAAGTAATCAATTCCTTTGATGAACAACCACCAAGTCCTTTTGCATGTCTCCTTTGGAAGAAAAGTAATTAATTCACCATTGTCACCATTGTCCTGTCTGTGAGAAACAATACAAAAAACTGTCTATTTGACTATCTGCGGTGGCATAATTGCTGACTTTGTCGGTGTCTTAGTTTCCAGAGTAGTATCCAAAGTCCCGTCCTTGCCTTTCTTTCGGGGAGGCTTTTTGATGGGGGTCTTCTTTGGCGTGGGGTCCCCTGCACCACCACCACCCTCTCCCACTCTAGAGCCGTTCAAGTCCTGCTTCTCCGGGCTCTTGGGGGCGATCTCAGGGCTGGCCGGGTCCGTTTTGGGGACCCCCACACCAACCATCTTCTGGAGGTTGGTGGTGTTAGGCAGCAGCGGCTTGTTGGAGCCCTGGTGGCCTGGTGTGGGAGCGGTGGTCCGTTTGGCCTTCTGCGGAGGGGTGGGCTTCTCCCGGTCTCCTCGGTCCCGGAGGATCGGGGTGGACAGGCCGTTGGTCTTTACCAGGCATGTGCCCTCGTTCCGGGTGATGCTCTGCGTCTTCTCCTTGAGCTGGGCGGCCAGGAGTGTGGCGGCCTCGGAGTTCATGTGTGGGTGGATCACTTTGGGGCTCTTGGGCGGCTCCTTGGGGGTCTCCACAGCGGCTGCCTTCTTGTCGGAGTTGGAGTTGTGGAAGTTGCCGATCTTCTTGAGAGCGTTCTGCACCACCCCGTTGATGTGCTCCATGTGGTTCATGTTCTCTCCGGACCTCCCCACCCGGTGGGCCTTGTGTTTGCTGGGGGAGCCGTTGACCTCTGTCCCCTTTCCCTCCTGGTTGCTCTTCTCCTTGGCATTCTCCTTCAGCCTCTGCCTCTCTTCGCTCTTGGCTGAGCTGTTGCTGGAGCTCCTGGTTGTCTTCACCTTGGGAAATGTTAGCCCCTTGCCCCCCTGGTTCGGCTTCTCCACCTGGAGAGTGGTACCCCCGTTGTTCCCATGGATCCACGACACCTTGGGTTTGGTGGAGGGGTCCGGCGGGCGCGGTTTGGTTGTGGTCTTTCCCCCCGGGGACGGTGGTTTCCCGTTACCCTTGACCTCGATGGTGACCATGCTGTCGCCCCCATCCTCTTCCTCCTTGGAGTTCTTGGAGAGGTGTGCAATGCGGGCGTAGAGGGCCCCAATGGCTGACTCGGAGCCGCTGGTGGAGCCCTCGCTGTCAGAGGACTTGAGGAGGGGCGCTTCGCTCCCATCCTGGGGTTTGTAGGTGCTGGCACTGGTGTCTTTTAGGGAGGTGTACCCCCCTGTATCATCCTCACTGTGGAAGGCTGCTGCTGGCTGGGGTCTGTCCTTCTCCTTATTCTCATTCAGCGACTCTATAGGACAGGAAGAGAGAACATGGATGAGAGTCAGGTTTAGATTGGATGGTAATGGTGTTCATACATAGGTGGTCAGGAAATACAGTATTACTGCATCATCAGGGATAAAGGATGTAGATGTGAGGCATGTTTACAGTGTTTAGAATGAGTGTTCATTATAAATACAGGATTATAACATACTGTATCATATTTCTCTTCTTACTGCCATTTGAAAATAATATCAAGCAATATTGAGACCTCCCCGAATTATTAAAGATATTCTACGGTACTTTTGTGTACTTTTATATGAGCCAAAAGTGTTCCCCGAAGATTGCGTACTACGTCACATACAGTATGTGCAGATATGTGCACCACGCCATTGCTCTCTCTCCCTCTCTCTCTGCTGTGTCCACTGAGCCATTGGGCCCACCCTGTAACCTCCTTGGAAAGCTGTCACTCAAATTGCAAGGGGCTGAACCTCATTGGCTGGAACTCGAATTGCTAGGGGTCCAAGCTTGCAGTACTCAAAATGGCGTGCACAGCTTCCAGAAAAACAGTCACTTTCAAATGAGGGATTCGTGGCTATTTGAGGTAAGACAGTCATTCTGCTCATAGATTATGCATGTATGAACACATTGACACATCCAGCCCAAAGCGGGAGGTTTAAAAAATACTTACTTAGTCGCCAAAGTAACGAAGCATGTCTTTAACTAACATTGTTTCTGGGAAATCTAACTTCCACAAACTATACAAAAAAAACTGGTGGGCATGGATATTTTCCAACAAACAACAAGGAGTGAGTCATGAATTGGACATATACCAAATGCTAAATGTACCATTACATTTCCTGTTCATGCTTTCGCATCCACACTGCAAAAAAGCAAATTTAACCAATTGCTTAATCAGCATTTTTCTGTGAGGACAAGAAATTGAGCTAATGTGTGAATGTTTGTTCACTCACTTGGAAGGCAACACTGTACTTTGGTTCAGCTATGCTCAAATGTTGAGCAAACTCACAATCCTATTGCAGCTGGTTGCCTTACAATTTTACGTTAAATCAACAAATTCTGCTCGAAGTGAGCTGAATTTGAACAAGCTTGTTGAGTAGATTTACAAATGCATGTTTGCTCAAAACCACTCAAAACCACACCCATCATCATATTTCCCAGCATGCTCTATTGCAGGTTGATTTTCAATCAAACCACAGGTAATAATTAGAACATGTTTTTTGTTTTTTTTGCACACAGGGCAAGGAACTGGGCTCGATGGTACACGATAAGGAGAACTTACCATCTCTCTAATTAGCTTTCCAGAGGCGTGTGACTCACAGTGCACTCCAAGAGTGAGTGTGTGTGTGTGTGTGTGTGTGTGTGTTCAAAGATTTGTGTGTACGTGTGAGTGTGCATGCATCCGTCCGTGCCTACATGTGTTTATTTGTGAAGTAGCCGTGGCTAATCACAGTGTTTGTTATTCTTTCCTGATGACTTCATCACATTGTTTAGACGGGGCCGACCTTCACTGTGTGTGTGTGCATGCGTCCGTGCTTGTGTGTGTGTATGTGTGTGTTTATGTGTGGTGTGTGTGTGTGTGTGTGTGTGTGTGTGTGTGTTTGTGTGTGCATAATGACTCACCTTCATGGGGAACACAGTACACAGGGCCATCATCACTGGGTTCCTCCTCAAAGGAATCGAAGGACTCCTGGGAGGACCAAGAGGAGGGGCAGGGCAGCTTGGCTACAGAGGGGGGCTCGATGAAGCTGCAGTTGAATGTGTTCTCAGGGTGGTGGTGGGCTACTGGGGGGTTAGGACACAGAGAAACAGAGTCAGAGAGAAGCACAGAGAAGGGAGTGGGACTACCTAACAAGAACAACAGATCGAGATGATCTGGGGTGTGTTGGGGTTTTAATGAAAGATAAAGGGTGACTTGAGACAAAGTTATGTTTGAAAATATATAAAACTGTTCTGTCATGACGTGTATGATCAAGTCCTTGATTTGTGGGTGTGCATTGGACATTTGTGTGTAATTTGTGTGATTCTCTGGTCTATCTATTCTTTGAACAAAAGTATTTACTGAGAAATTACCTAGAGAATACTAATTTTCCTAAATGTAGGTCCTCCCTCCCTGTTGGTGTATTCTGCTGACCCTTCAGTCTGAGGACAGCTGTGTTCTGTGTGGTTGCCCTTCTCCTTTCCCCGTCTGGCAGTGGACTAACTGACTGTGTGTGTGTGTGTGTGTGTGTGTGTGTGTGTGTGTGTGTGTGTGTGTGTGTGTGTGTGTGTGTGTGACTGGGTGTTAACTAGACATTGACCACATCAGATACGCCTATGTACATCCCCCCTCCACCCGATGACATATGAGCCCATCCGTTTGTTCTCCACTAACGCGTTGCTAACCCTAAACCCTTTTTCAGCTGAAAGATCCCCTCTAACTACCCTGAGTCTCTATGCATTTGATTTTGATTTATTTGACAGTTTGAAACACAATTACGCCACAAAAGCAGATTTACTGCATGTAAAATCATTGAGGATGAATCAATAAAGTTTTACAACATATTTCCATTGTGGTCCTTATTGTGGTATGAGATATGGTTGTGGCATGGACGTCATCTCCCAAACTGTAAAACAACTGACCTCTGGTAACATCAGCATGGCCAGGTGTAGTACAGCTAAATGACTACCAGGAGATGTGTCAACACAAGGGCAGCACTATTCTGTTACTCTCACAACTCCAGTGAAATCAGGGGACTTTGTTGGTGGGAATTTCCACTGAAAGCTGAGCTTATTATAAGGATATCCAGCACACTGCAGTCTCAGACTAAATCCGAAAGTGACTAAGTCTATTTCTCAACACTTCTGATATTGTACCTGGAAAAATTGCAATACTACTGTACAATGGTGACCGGATGATTATATTAAGGAACTTGACTTGATGTAGATTAGATTAGTTGGATTGCAGCAATGGCAGTAGTTAGAAACAATATACTGTAAACAGTACCCACCCAGATATTTATCCAGGAAAATAATTTCATAGCTGCTTTTCTTCAAGCTGAAAAATATTTTGCTCAAATTCAATGAAGGAGATACATACATACATACTGTATGTCTGACTGACTCACTGTCTTTATGAGTTGTTTGCACTTTATCCCTATTGTTGCAGCCCTTCTGTGCTAGACTACAGAGAACAGACAATACCCATGCAATGTAAGAAGCAGAGTGGCCCTAAGCTAATTGACTAACTAACCACATGCTGTACTAGACTATAGCAGACAGACAGTACTGATGCAGTGGCCAATTGGTATAGCAAAGGGCGGGGGTAGACGACTAGATGGTCGATGACCGGAACATAATTATAATAATTTGTCCACTGCAAACTGACCACAAATAAGCCCAAAAATAAGTTGTATTTGAAAATAACAGTCATTTCCTACTTTGGTTACATTGAGACACGATCACATATTTCTCTTTTTTTATTAGTGGGAATACTTTTCTAAATTAAACTGAATTCCTGGTGATTTTAAGTATTTTTTGACCAACAACTAAAATCATAGTTTTACTAAAAACTTTGGGGTCTGTTGCCTGTTGTCGACCCCTGGCATACACTCTTAGATAAAAGGGTTCCAAAAGGGTTATTCGGCTGTCCCCATAGGAGAACCCTTTTTGGTTCCAAGTAGAACAAAAAAGGTTCCTTTTGGGTTCCTTGTAGAACCCTCTGTGGAAAGAATACAGGGTTCTTCAAACGGTTCTCCTATTGGGACAGCCGAAGAACCATTTTAGGTTCTATAGCAATTTTTTTTCTAAGAGTGTGGGGCCTATTGTAAAGTAACTAAGCCTCCATTATCTTAATGCAACAGTAAACAAACAACTGCTGTCCGGAGCAGCATGAATTCTTAAGGGAGAGACGCCACAGAAAGCCCAAAGCCCAGCCTACACAGAGGCCAACATTGGACAACCGTGCCCCAGCTGCACAGTTCTATCATAGCTGCCTGTGAGGCCAGCAACACTGGAGCAGGTGGTCCTTTTCACTTTTCGCATTTGGACATGTAACTGAGTCCTAAAAAGCACCCTATCCCCTATATAGTGCACTACTTTTGACCAGAGCCCACGCAGACACACAGAGTGCTACGGAATGGGAATGGGGGAAGCCAGCCAGCAGAGCGTCAGATAGCTAGCTACAGTATAGGGCGTGGAATAAATACGCTTAGAATGGAATGACAAACTCTAAGCAGTGTGGAGGTTTAAGTAGAGGAGGGGGGATGGGGGAACGGTTATGTATGGAGAAGCAGAGGAGCGGAGGAGCTATATGAGCTATGCAAAAGACAGAGCAAATGTTTTCTTCCTCCTCCTCCTTCCTCCTCCTCCTCGTTTTCCTCCTTCCTCTGTTTCTCTGTCCTTTTATCTTGGGATGGGTGAGAGTGTGTGTATGAAGGAGCTAAATTAGCTATGCAAAAGACAGCACACGTTTTCTACCTCCTTCTATTTCTCCCCTGTTCCTCTTTCCTTTTTCTTTGCCACATCTGTTGTAGTGTGTTGACCCCAGTGTGGATAAATCATAGGTCTGACACAGGTTGGGGTAAATTTGTCCACTTCCTGTTTTGAGTCCAGTGGGCCTCCTGCGGAATGTTGCAGGGACTGAAGGAGCCCCAGGGAGGGTAGAGTTTCAAAATGCTGGCACGCAGGCCACGCTTCTGTAGGCAGGCAATGAGGAAAGCAGAGCAGGAGCTGCTGGCTCTGGAGATGGAGGGAGGGAGGGAGGGAGGGAGGGAGGGAGAGGGACATAGAGGGAGAAGAGAGGAGAGAGGAAGGGAGCTAGAGAGAGAGAGAAGACCGGATGGGAAGGAAGGGGAGAGATCAGTAGCGAGAGTCAGAGATGCAGCTACTTCTTGTCTAGAGTACTCATGAGAGATCGCATCACTATGTACTAGACATCCATGAAAGATTGAATGAAGTGGCTGCTAAATGAGGAAGTAGAGAGAGGCGAGACGAGGGAGAAGTTCGGGGCTAGAGAGACGAGAATAGAGACGAAGAGACATAGAGAAAGCACCAACACCCCACAAGCCCCGACAGAACACATTTAGACCCAACCAAATTAAAGAACGCAAAAAGATAAGTATTTGATCCACTGGACAGAATCAACCAAAAAACTGAGCAAACTAGAATGCTATTTGGTCCTAAACAGAGAGTACACAGTGGCAGAATACCTGACCCCTGTGACTGACCCCAAATTAAGAAAATCCTTGACTAGGTACAGACTCAGTGAGCATAGCCTTGCTATTGAGAGAGGCCGCCTTAGGCAGACCTGGCTCTCGAGAGAAGACAGGCTATGTGCCCGCTGCCCACAAAATGAGGTGGAAACTGAGTTACACTTCCTAACCTCCTGCCAAATGTATGACCACATTAGAGACACATATTTCCCTCAGATTACACAGACCCACAAAGAATTTGAAAACAAATCAAACACTGATAAACTCCCATATCTGTTAGGCGAAATACCGCAGTGTGCAATCACAGCAGCAAGATTTGTGGCCCGTTGCCATGAGAAAAGGGCAACCAGTGGAGCACAAACAACATTGTAAATACAATCTCTTTTTACCTGTTTATTTAATTTCCTTTTCATACTTCAACTATTTGCACATTGTTACAACACTGTGAGTGTAATGTTTATTGATTGTTTATTTCCCTAGTTTATTTCCCTTTTGTTTATTGTCTATTCCATTTGCTTTGGCAATGTAAATATATGTTTCACATGCCAATAAAGCCCTTGGAATTTAACTGAGAGAGAGAGTGAGAGAGAGAGAGAGAGAGAGAGAGAGAGAGAGAGACAGAGAGAGAGATCGAGAGAGAGAGAGAGAGAAGGAGATCGAGAGTACTACGAGAGGAGAGAGAGAAGACAGAAGCGAGAATGACGAGATAGAAGAGGATAGAGAAGAACGCGACTACGTCGACAGCGCAGACGAGAGAGATAGGCTCACTCGACAGACCCCAGCTCCTCCGACCGAGATCCTAGACACTGAGACCGATGGAGGTAGACAGAGAGAAGATCAGCCGACCTTTAGGAATGACCAGAGGAGACTATAGAGAACCGAGAGAGAAGAGACAGAGATAGCAGAGATCAGAGAAGACAAGAGAGAGAAGACAGAGAGAACGAGACAGAAGAGCAGATAGAAGAGAGAGAGAGAGATAGAGAGAGAGAGAGACAGAGAGGAGAACAGAGAAGAGAAAGAGAGGAGAGAGAGAAGAGAGACAGACAGAGCATAGAGACAGAGAGACAGAGAAGAGAGACGAAGAGAATAGATGACAGAGAAAAGAAACAGATACAAAATAGAGAAAAGAAATGATAACCGAATCAAGAGACAGAGAGAGTAGACCAGCCTTCTCTCCACTTCTCACTCTCTCATCGAATCATATCATACGATCGCTACCGCCACTGAGAGATAGTATACAAGATAGACAGAGAACATAGAGAGACATAGACGATAGACAGAGAGACAGATAGACAAGACAGAGACAGAGACCAGAGAGACAGAGACAGAGAGACAGAAGAGACAGAGACAGAGAAGACAAGAGAGAAGAGAGAGAACAATAGTAGAAGATACCTAGAGAGAGAACAGAGAGACGAGATAAGAATTAGAGCAGATAGAGCAGACAAGAAATACAGAGAGAGAGAGGACGAGAGAGAGACAGAGAGAGAGAGAGAGAGACAGAGAGAGACAGAGAGATAGCGAAGCTGATCAGTTTATCTCTCCTTATGAACAAGAGGAGGATGTATAAGTCACAGTGGGTGAATGACTGGAAAGTATATTCTTAAATTAATTGGGTTGTCATTTTATAGCTGTGTGTTGTCATGTATTCTTGAATGTGAGGGAGGAAAACTTAGAGAGAATTGGTTTTGGCTTGGACCAAAAACTCTATTCTACTCTCTCCAAATTCTCAAAGGGATAGTTTGTTCTAGTTGATTGCAACCCAGGCATGGTACCATCTGCTTTGTGTACACAAGAATGAAAGGGCTTGTTTGTTTGAAAGGAGGTCGGACACTCTGACTTTTAACAAAATGCAATTTCTAAAGCCTCTGGCGGATTGTTTATAAGTTATAGTAAACTTTGAGGGTGTTTTTTTTTAAATGCTGTTAATGTCCCCTGACACAAGACAAGTCTCTGACAAAGACAATACTATTCCAGTGTGTGTTTCTACGCAGGCATGATTAAGACAGCTGTTATCTGAAATAGTCCGCTGAAGAAGAGGAGAAGCACATGCTACTCATTGTGAAGGAGAGGAGAAGTGAAACGAGGTCACCGCTGTTTAACTCCTTCATCGCAACTGGTTTTTAAACGACTGCTTTAAAGGTGTCATATTACTCTGTAGAGTGACTACAAATGTCAACAAATAGCGCACTCCGGTCCATTAAAATATACTATACTCAGACCATCCATTCATTCAGAAGCAGTCTAGATGGCCATTGATTCAATTGATCTCCTACATAGCAGAGCCAATGCATCCTGGCCAATGTCGATCCAGAACATGGCTGTGTCTGGAATGTCTAAAGAAAAAGGAGAGTTCTTCAGTGTGTAAGCTATGTGTAATGTCCTTAAAGCTGACCTGAGATGGGACCTGACAGACAGACATTCCTATCCCAGAACACAAGACCTTCCTTCACCTCCCTCCCTCCACACAGACAGACAGGAGCTACTCTCCCTCCGCTCCTCTCCACATTGACAATAACACAGCAGCCTTTGATAAGGTATCACTCAACACCAATCAGACGTACCCGAGCACCACACCACTACACCGACCCTTTCTTTCTCTCTTAATAACACAGCCTTCGTCCCAGTAGAAGAGGAGCTCAACTCACTGTCTTAATAAGGAGCGAAGGAGGGAAGGAGGGAAGGAAGGAAGGAAGGAGGGAAGGAAGGAAGGAGGGAAGGAGGGAAAGAGGGAAGGAGGGAAGGAGGGAAAGAGGGAAACGAGTAAAGAAAAGAGAGGGAAGAAAGAGAAGGGCCCATTTAGGGTTGTCATAATATGAACGCATGGTTTTAAGGGTGCCAGTAATAATAAGGCCTGAAACCATTGCATTCCTCTCAGATGAAACCCCATACCCATTTGGCAGCTGCAGTACACTTTACAACCCTATTCATTGTCTGAAAACCGCTCAACAGAGAGTCGCAGAGACAGGTAATCACAAAGCAAAGGGAAAATGAAAATGCTGAAGAGTTAGAGGCTCGTCATGACTATGACACATAAACTATTAGGTGATCAAGAGACATGAACAAAGGAGGGTTAAGGGCAGCAACAGCGGCTCTGTTAGAGTATCCAAAATGGTACCTTATTCCCTTTATAGTGCACTTCTTTTCACTAGAGCCCTTAGGAAATAGGGTGCCATTTGGGACACAAGGCAGCCTCTGTCTTGGCATGGTGAAGGCAGTAGCCTATCAGGGAGGAGGGATTGGCGCTTACCGACTACTTTAGGCAGCTTCTGCCGTCTCAGTGGGATCCGGGGGAGTTTGGTGCTGATTCGGCTGAATCGTCCACACAGGATCCGCTTGGCTTTTTTACTGTTGGTAGAGTTGTCTTGGTCAGGACTGAGGGAAAGAGGGAGGGGTGACGCCATGGAAAACATACTAAATTACTAAACCATACGAACCGATTCAAATGTGGGTGAGGTTCATCTACATTGAAACGCTTGCAGTACGAGCAACACGCCATTGGAAACCATGAAGAAAAAGACCACACACTATCATACTGGCCCAGTCTGGACTTGGCAACATAAGATATACTGTGCAGGACCTTTAAACTCGATAGTAACCTATAACAAGGAGCCACAGTCTTTCCTGATCAGGTACCATGACCAGGAAAAACTCAAGGCCCTAACAATACTGTATGTACTGTAATAAAAGGGTAAAAACTCTTTAAAGGATGGAACACTCCACTATTTTAACAAGGAGGGCAAACGGCAACATCTTCTCTAACCTCCATCCCATCTCCAGCCCTCACCCTATACCAGGTCTGTGTCTGTCACCTGCCCTCACCCTACACCAGGTCTGTGTCTGTCACCCGCCTTCACCCTACACTAGGCCTGAGTCTGTCACCTGCCCTCACCCTACACCAGGCCTGTGTCTGTCACCCGCCCTCACCCTATACCAGGCCTGTGTCTGTCACCCTCCCTCACCCTACACCAGGCCTGTGTCTGTCACCCGCCCTCATCCTATAACAGACCTGTGTCTGTCACCTGCCCTCACCCTACACCAGTCCTGTGTCTGTCACCCGCCTTCACCATATACCTCACCCTACACCAAGCCTGTGTCTGTCACCCGCCTTCACCCTAAACCAGGTCTGTGTCTGTCACCTGCCCTCACCCTAATTAAGGCCTGTGTCTTTCACCTGCCCTTACCCTACACCAGGTATATGTCTGTCACCTACCCTCACCCTATACCAGGCCTGTTTCTGTCACCCACCCTCACCCTATACTAGGTCTGTATTTGTCACCTGCCCTAACCCTACACCAGGCCTGTGTCTGTCACCCGCCTTAACCCTATACCAGGCCTGTGTCTGTCACCCACTCTCACCCTATACTAGGTCTGTATTTGTCACCTGCCCTAACCCTACACCAGGCCTGTGTCTGTCACCCACCCTCACCCTACACTAGGCCTGTGTCTGTCACCCGCCTTCACCCTACACCAGCTATATGTCTGTCACCCGCCCTCACCCTACACTAGGCCTGTGTCTGTCACTCGCCTTACCCTACACCAGGCCTGTGTCTGTCACCCGCCCTCACCCTACACCAGGCCTGTGTCTGTCACCTGCCCTCACCCTACACCAGGCCTGTTTCTGTCACCTGCCCTCACCCTAATTAAGGCCTGTGTCTTTCACCTGCCCTTACCCTACACCAGGTATATGTCTGTCACCTACCCTCACCCTATACCAGGCCTGTTTCTGTCACCCACCCTCACCCTACACCAGGTCTGTGTCTGTCACCCGCCCTAACCCTACACCAGGTCTGTGTTTGTCACCTACCCTCACCATATACATCACCCTACACCAAGCCTGTGTCTGTCACCCGCCTTCACCCTACACCAGGCCTGTGTCTGTCACCCACCCTCACCTTATACTAGGTCTGTATTTGTCACCTGCCCTCACCCTACACCAGGCCTGTGTCTGTCACCCGCCCTCATCCTATAACAGCCCTGTGTCTGTCACCTGCCCTCACCCTACACTAGGCCTGTGTCTGTCACCCGCCTTCACCCTACACCAGGCCTGTGTCTGTCACCCACACTCACCCTATACCAGGCCTGTGTCTGTCCCCCACCCTCACCCTATACCAGGTCTGTGTTTGTCACCTGCCCTCACCCTACACCAGGTATGTGTCTGTCACCCACACTCACCCTATACCTCACCCTACAGCAGGCCTGTGTCTGTCACCCGCCTTCACCCTATACCAGGCCTGTGTCTGTCACCCACCCTCACCCTATACTAGGTCTGTATTTGTCACCTGCCCTAACCCTACACCAGGCCTGTGTCTGTCACCCGCCCTCATCCTATAACAGCCCTGTGTCTGTCACCTGCCCTCACCCTACACTAGGCCTGTGTCTGTCACTCGCCTTACCCTACACCAGGCCTGTGTCTGTCACCCGCCCTCACCCTACACCAGGCCTGTGTCTGTCACCCGCCCTCACCCTACACCAGGCCTGTGTCTGTCACCCGCCCTCACCCTACACCAGGCCTGTGTCTGTCACCTGCCCTCACCCTACACCAGGCCTGTTTCTGTCACCTGCCCTCACCCTAATTAAGGCCTGTGTCTTTCACCTGCCCTTACCCTACACCAGGTATATGTCTGTCACCTACCCTCACCCTATACCAGGCCTGTTTCTGTCACCCACCCTCACCCTACACCAGGTCTGTGTCTGTCACCCGCCGTAACCCTAAACCAGGTCTGTGTCTGTCACCTGCCCTCACCCTATACCAGGCCTGTGTCTGTCACCTGCCCTCACCCTACACCAGGTCTGTGTTTGTCACCTACCCTCACCATATACCTCACCCTACACCAAGCCTGTGTCTGTCACCCGCCTTCACCCTACACCAGGCCTGTGTCTGTCACCCACCCTCACCCTATACTAGGTCTGTATTTGTCACCTGCCCTCATCCTACACAAGGTATGTGTCTGTCACTCACCCTCACCCTATACCAGGTCTGTGTTTGTCACCTGCCCTCACCCTATTTCAGGTATGTGTTTGTCACTGCCCTCACTCTACACCTGGCCTGTGTTTGCCAACCGCCCTCACCCTACACCAGGCCTGTGTCTGTCCCCCACCCTCACCCTATACCAGGCCTGTGTCTGTCACCCACCCTCACCCTATACCAGGTCTGTGTTTGTCACCTGCCCTCACCCTACACCAGGTATGTGTCTGTCACCCACACTCACCCTATACCTCACCCTACAGCAGGCCTGTGTCTGTCACCCGCCTTCACCCTACAGCAGGCCTGTGTCTGTCACCCACCCTCACCCTATACCAGGTCTGTGTTTGCCAACCGTCCTCACCCTACACCAGGCCTGTGTCTGTCACCCACCCTCACCCTATACCAGGCCTGTGTCTGTCCCCCACCCTCACCCTATACCAGGTCTGTGTTTGTCACCTGCCCTCACCCTACACCAGGTATGTGTCTGTCACCCACACTCACCCTATACCTCACCCTACAGCAGGCCTGTGTCTGTCACCCGCCTTCACCCTACACCAGGCCTGTGTCTGTCACCCACCCTCATCCTATACCAGGTCTGTGTTTGTCACCTGCCCTCACCCTACACCAGGTATGTGTCTGTCACCCACACTCACCCTATACCTCACCCTACACCAGGTATGTGTCTGTCACTCACCCTCACCCTACACCAGGCCTGTGTCTGTCACTCGCCCTCACCCTATACCAGGCCTGTGTCTGTCACATGCCCTAACCCTACACCAGGCCTTTATCTGTCACCGCCCTCACCCTACACCAGGCCTGTGTCTGTCACATGCCCTCACCCTACACCAGGCCTGTGTCTGTCACTCACTTGTGTTGGTCTTTATTTCTGCAGAGGCAGCAGCAGAGGAGTGAGAGGAGGACAGTGAGCAGAAAGGAGACCAGGGTTCCCGCCGCGATCACGCCCATCCGCTGGTTAGGCTCTGAAACAGCAGACAGATGGACACAAGCAGGGGTTTATGGGTGTGCCACACTGTTGCCAACCAGAGACATTTGTATATATCCGGTGCCAACTGGCATTAATTCTGTCAGAACTCCCTGAACTCCCAGAATCACACTATGTTGACCCTCCACACTGTGGAAATACTGTAGACCTATAGTATGTACCATGAAGTGGGCATTGAAGAGATATCCAATTGAGATAAGTCATAGATGTTAATTTCAGCCATGCATGCAACAGCCCTCCTTCTCTAAAAATCGCCACTCTTTATAGATCTCCTGCTGTGGATCCACTTAACCGACTTCTAGAAGCGTCCACTGAACCCTATCCTTCACTCACTCTATTACCCCTCTGCTACAACTCCCTTTACCCCCATAATTCATTCATGATTTAGAAGCACCCTCCCTTTCTAGGATGACTAGACTTAAAACTCAGTTGCATAAACATATCTAGGCCTTTGGAGCCCTGATCAAAAGTAGTGCACTGCAAAGATGGCACCATCATGCCACACCAGATAGCAATTAGATAAATACTGGTGGCCCCTGGCCCTCTATGTCCCTCTGCTGTCATAGAGGCTGTGGAAGAATAGAAGTGAGTCCTGGGTGTGGCATGTAGGGCCTGGCCTCTGTGTTCACAGCTGGATAAAGGAAGGGACTGGCCCGGCAGAGCTGAATGGCCTGACCCAGTGACATCATCGCCGCTTCCCAACATGCCCATTTGCTGAAACCTCTGGTGACCTTGTTTCCTCTCCTCCCTTCTCTTTTCATCCTCCAGTTCTCTCTCCCTTACTCTTACTCTCACTCTTTCTCTCTCTCTCTCTACCATCCTCCCCCCCTCTCTCTCTCTACCATCCTCCCCCTCTCTCTCTCCCTCTTTCTCTCTCTCAACCATTCGCGATCCCCCTCATCTCCTCTGCTTTCTCTCTCTCTCTCGATACCATCCTCCCCCCCTCTCTTTCATCTATCTCTAACCATCTTCCATCACTCTCTTTCTCCTCCTCCCTCTTTTCTCTCCTCTCTACCATCCTTCCCTCCAAACCCCCCCCCACCCCCCCCACCCCCCCCCCCCCCCCCCCCTTCTCTCCGGCTGGACAGGAACAAGGCCAACAAACACAGTCGTAAAAAAGGACACCAGGCATTCTGGAAAGGCCATTAGGCCTCCTCCATGTTAATTCTACTACAGTAACGTGAATAAACATGTGCGTTAGTGCTCATCGTCTCCGTTCAACTCACAGACAGACATTCATGAGCTGCGTCACTGCTAGCAACTGGCTATTTAGACAGACAAACAGTCAAGCAAGGGGTTTGGCATTTGGGACCTTCATGTGGAGTGCACACATTTGATATGATCTCTATAGTCACGTCTATAGTCATGTCTATAGTCAGGCAAGGGTGTGTTTTCTTTACGTCTTGCATTCCTTCAAAAAATCGAGTAACTTTTTTAACACTAGAAGCACCAGGGTTTGACGCCCCACGTGCTCCGCAAAGAACACCTTTTCTACCTCTTAATATTCAGTCTTGTGGTGTGGCTGCCTTAAAAAACAGTGACCTAACATTCTCTCAGATCTGTAGAAGTGAATGAGGAAATACAGAGAGTGGTTTCCTTGCGTAGGTTGCAGTGTGTGTGTGTGTGTGTGTGTGTTTCCTTACGTAGGTTGCAGGCCCCCGACACTGGGTTACAGTTGTTGTCGTGACAGGTGCAGGTCTGGGCACAGTTCACTCCATACTGACCCATCTGACACGTCATGTTGCAGCTAGAAGACAGACACAAACAACATCTTAGTGTCTGAGACAGGTGCATTGAAATAGACAGTGGGACAGGGGTTAACAGACAGTGAATAAACTGGTAATGTACTACAATGACTATATGAAGCCAACTCCCTCTGCACTGAATAATGATTACAGATGTAGGATCTTAATTTGATCACACTTTTGTTCCTGAAAATGTTCCTGAAAGCAGATTTACATAAATTCACGGAAAACCCACACTAACACACGGTTATATTAACATTTAATGTAGCCTACTTTTGGGCAGCTAATAGCCTAACCAATGATCATACAACATTATGGACTAAACGTTACAATCCTGTTGCTGAAGGATTATTTTGCTGTGACAATACAGGTCAAATAAAGATCCTACATCTGTACGTACAACCAGTAGTTTTTCCCGACCACTAGTGACCTGGGCACTAGAGATATGCTAGGGTCGAAAGGGTTTCCTGGTTTGGCCATGTAATTAGGAAACCTCTAGGCGTGAAGCACGAGGGTGTACAAAAAAAACAGTTGGAAAGATAACATGTCTGGGTATTGTAGACATGATGGGAAGCCTAAACAGGATGTTTTGGTGCGAGGCCCATTCTCCTTTAAATTGTTTAACTTGGGTCAAACGTTTCAGGAAGCCTTCCACAAGCTTCCCACAATAAGTTGGGTGAATTTTGGCCCATTCCTCCTGACAGAGCTGGTGTAACTGAGTCAGGTTTGTAGGCCTCCTTGCTCGCACACGCTTTTTCAGTTCTGCCCACAAATGTTCTATAGGACTGAGGTCAGGGCTTTGTGATGGCCACTCCAATACCTTGACTTTGTTGTCCTTAAGCCATTTTGCCACAACTTTGGAAGTATGCTTGGGGTCATTGTCCATTTGGAAGACCCATTTGCGACCAAGCTTTAACTTCCTGACTGATGTCTTGAGATGTTGCTTCAATATATCCACATAATTGTCCTTCCTCATGATGCCATCTATTTTGTGAAGTGCACCAGTCCCTCCTGCAGCAAAGCACCCCCACAGCATGATGCTGCCACCCCAGTGCTTCACGGTTGGGAAGGTGTTCTTTGGCTTGCAAGCAGCCCCCTTTTTCCTCCAAACATAACGATGGTTATTATGGCCAAACAGTTCTATTTTCTTTAATCAGACCAGAGGACATTTCTCCAAAAAGTACGATCTTTGTCCCCATGTGCAGTTGCAAACCGTAGTCTGGCATTTTTATGGGGGTTTTGGAGCAGTGGCTTCTCCCTTGGTGAGCAGCCTTTCAGGTTATGTCGATATAGGACTCGTTTTACTGTGGATATAGATACTTTTGTACCTGTTTCCTTCATCATCTTCACAAGGTCCGTTGCTGTTGTTCTGGGATTGATTTTCACTTTTCGCACCAAAGTACGTTCATCTCTAGGAGACAGAACGCGTCTCCTTCCTGAGCGGTATGACGGCTGCATGGTCCCATGGTGTTTATACTTGCGTACTATTGTTTGTAAAGATGAACGTGGTACCTTCAGGCGTTTGGAAATTGCTCCCAAGGATGAACCAGACTTGTGGAGGACTACAATTTTTTTTCTGAGGTCTTGGCTGATTTCTTTTGATTTTCCCATGATGTCAAGCAAAGAGGCACTGAGTTTGACGGTAGGCCTTGAAAAACATCCACAGGTACACCTCCAATTGACTCAAATGATGTAAATTAGCCTATCAGAAGCTTCTAAAGCCATGACATCATTTTCTGGAATTTTCCAAGCTGTTTAAAGGCACAGTCAACTTAGTGTATGTAAACTTCTGACCCACTGGAATTGTGATACAGTGAATTAATTGTCTGTAAACAATTGTTGGAAAAATTACTTGTGTCATGCACAAAGTAGATGTCCTAACCGACTTGCCAAAAATGTGTGAAGTGGTTGAAAAACAAGTTTTAATGACTCCAATCTAAGTGTATGTAAACTTCAGACTTCAACTGTATGTACATGTGGGTAGAGTTAAAGTGACTATGCATAAATAATATACTCAGGAGCTGTGAGTCACATCTCAGAACCCTTAGCACAGCATGCAAGCACACGTTCAATGCTCTGATGCAGTGACTGTAATTCAGCATCTATGTAAATCACATACTGAAAAGTACACTAGAAATGTGTACACACTCAGAACATTAGCACAGCATGACAGCATTGGTTAGTACAAGTTCATGTTTTTAAATGATTCTTTCAAGTGCTTAAAATGGTAATACAAAGGGTCTGTGAATAATATGTTGGCATGAGAACAAGTGGACAACATGACTGTACTAAACCATAAAGAGAATGTGTTTTTCCACATCATCTGTCGACATGAAATGTTATGTTGAAATTCCACAAAGTTAAATACCCATTAGGGCAACAAATATTTACTCTCCTAATAAACAACTAAAAGGAACCCTAATGGCATGCGCACATGTGTGTGTACACAGGTTTGTGTGCCCCTGCCCGTGGTTCCAGGTGTATGTGTGTGGCCTACCTGTCCCCGATCCAGCCGGGGTTGCAGTGGGAGCACTTTCCGTCGATGCGGTTGCAGAAGTGGCCGTCTTTACACGGAGGACACTCGTCCAGGCAGTTCTCCCCGAAGAAGCCTGGCAGGCACATCTGGTCACACTTTGTCCCGTTCCAGCCCCCCTCACAGGTCACACACCTCCCCTCGGTTATCTTACAGGGCTGCTGCCCCTTACAGTGCCCACACCTGGGGGAAGAGAGAGGGGAGAGGGGGATACATTAGAACACCTGGGGGGAGAGAGAGGGGAGAGGGGGAGACATTAGAACACCTGGGGGAAGAGAGTATTGCACTAAATGGAAATAGGGAGCTTTTTGGGCGAAGCCGTGTCTGTCATCACAATTTGGGAGCAGCATGACTACTGGGTGACATTTTGGTCGGTTTTGGTAATATCTCATAGTTGTAGTGCTGTCAAAACAATGCCTTATGTGTAAGATTACATTTGATGATTTGCTACATTTGCTACATTTGGGACCTGTAGACATTTTCCATGTGTGTAGTACAGATGTAGGATCTTAATTTGATCACCCTGTTGCAGGATAACCTTTAGTCTATTTGAGGTTTAAAAAGGCTTCTGAAGTTTGTAATTTCTACTTAGAAATTTCAGAATGTATGTTCCATTACGAAAAATGTATCAACTCCTACAAAAATGTCCATTAATTATAATCCACATAATAATTCACATTTCCTGTTGCTGCAGGATTATTTCCCTACTGTAGCAAACTGGCTCTATTTTGGTATCCACATACTGTATGTCTTTGGTGTGCAGTTGAACAAAACAAAAACATTGGAATAATTTACTAAATCTTAACTTATTCCACAAAGAAATCCTAAAATATCTATTATTAGTATAGATTATTAGAACCTTCTAGAAATAGTTAGAAATAATTAGATTTCAAGCAGGTGATTCTCCTTTACTTTGGAAATGAACTGACCTGTGGTGAGTTGCAGGTGCCTGAAATATAAAAATCACTAATTCAACCAGTTTGAGTAGAGAAAAGGACTAATTCTCCTGTTTTGTATCTCTGTGAAGAAAAGAAAGAAAACTAGAGAATTATCTGAGGAGGTCAGACACAAGATTGAAGCCAAGCATTGACAATCTCAAGGCTACAAGTCCATCTCCAGAGACCTTGATGTTCCTGTTTCCACCATACGTAATGTTATCAAGACGTTTAAGGCCCATGCCACTGTAGCCAACCTCCCTGGACGTGGCCGCAAGAGAAAACTTGATGGAAGATTGCAGCGAAGGATGGTTTGAATGGTGGAGAAAGCATCTCGGTCAACCTCCACACAGATTCAAGCTGACCCTCTGACACAAGGTACGACAGTTTCAACTCACACCATCTGTCGCCAACTCAATGAAAGGGAGTTATATGGTAGGAGAAGTGGCCAGCAATGAGTCCAGATCTAAATCCCATTGAAAACTTGTGGAGATCTGAAAACAGCAGTTGGGAGAAGGCACCCTTCAAATCTGGGAGAACTGGAGCAGTTTGCACAAGAAGAGTGGGCCAAACTGCCAGTACAGAGGTGCAGGAAGCTCATCAATGGCTATAGGAAGCGCTTGATTGCAGTTACTTTGACCAAAGGCTGTGCTATCAAATATTAAGTCTAGGGTGTCAATGCCAGTTCTGTTTATTTTCTGATTTAAACGGATATATATATATAGTTCCGAATCAAAAACAAAGGCTCTGTAATATTAACAGTGAAATAAAGAATTGTGGAGACCAAATACTTTGTTAAATCTCAACTTATTTTTAGGGAAAATTGTGAGTTACTTGAAAAAAGTGCAAAGGTGCCAATATTTTTGGCCCACTACTGTATAACACCAGTTCTGCAGACCCTGAACAAGGTAATCCACCTGAATGGCTTCAGCATATTAGATGATTATTATGAGATAATGTGAACACCAATTCCCCAGTATCTCTCTATTACACCGTTAATATGGATTTTAACGTTAAGATCCTTGGCAAAAAAAATAAAGAGAAAAACGTGTGCATTAGGATCATTGCCTTTTCAGTTTCACATCTGTTACATTTTCATGAAAAAATGTATGTTCCATTTTCTGTTAGAATAATACTCCCTCTCCAGTGAACTCAAATGGTTCTCTCCAGTGTTTTGGTTCCTCACCTGTTCCTGCAGTTCTGTCCGTAGAACCCAGCGGGACACGGTTCCCTGCAGAACTTCCCTCGGTACCCTGGCGTGCAGGTACACGAGCCATCCCCCTGGTTGCACTTCCCGTGGATACACTGACAATACCTCTCGCACCGCTGGCCCCACAGTCTCTCCTGGCACTGGCACCGACCCGTAAACTGCTCGCATGGTGAGTTATTACAGTTACACTGGATGGCACAGTTCCTCCCAGACCAGCCTGGACTACAGTTACACCTTCCTGTGTTCTGGTCACAGACAGAGTTGAGACTGCAGTAGCAGTTGTTAGCACACTGAGTGCCCCAGAAGCCATGGTGGCATGTGCACGAGCCCGTGTCCTGGTCACACTTGCCCTTCTGGCAGAGGCAGGGCTTCTCGCAGTTGGGCCCCCAGCGGTTGGGGTTGCATGTGCACTTGCCCGTCACGTCGTCACACTGGCCGTTGGGGAAGCACTGGCACTTGCCCTTGCAGTCGGGGCCCCAGAATTGGGTTGGGCACTCTGGGAAAGAAGGATAGAGTCCTTTTTATAGGATCACTGGAACCTCACAAGTCAAGGAATACACTGTACAATGGCTTCAACATTTCCCTTCTGTTGGTTTAGGACAGCACATTCAACACCATTCATTCAGAGTAATTTCAACAATGAACTGTAACATAATGGTTCCCTTGACAATGAAAGTACAAGTCATGGCCATGAAAGTGATTTGAATACATATGTTTTAAATATAGTATCACAAAAGCAAGTTGCTTACTTGTATCACAACTGGCTCCGAAATATCCATGTCGACAGCGACATTCATTGGGCCTGATGCACAGCTCATTCTCCTTACAGGTAAAGTTCCCTTCACAGAGAGCTGATAGGAGGAGGTGAATACTGAATTATTATTGGCAATATCCACAACATGAAAACATACCATGTTGCAATACTTTATTGTGATGTTACTGATACATTACAAATGTGAATACGAAGAGGTATGAAAATACTGTATTTTGATGTTGATATGCATACATACGTGTCAAACATTCATCTCCTAGCTGTCCCCACCCGCTGCAGCACACCAATACTGGTGACCTAAACGACAGGGGAAGAAAAAGGAGCGTGTCAGAGAGGAAGAAGATAAGACTAGAAACGTGAACACTCAGTGTAGCAAAACAACAGAACCACCACCACCACACCACACCACCACACCCCACCACACCACTACTACCATCACTACCACAGCACACACACCACACCACCACCACCAGCACCACACCAACGACCACCACGACACACACGACGACCACCCACCACGACGACCACCAGCACCACCACCAGGCCACCCACAGACCACCACACATCACCACCCACCACGCCCACACACACACACCACTACACACACCACACACCACACGACTACACCACACATACCACACCACACTCACCACACACAACACCACCCAACCCCAGACCACCACTACCACCACACACCACCATCTCCACCTACCACACCACTACACACCACACTACCATCACCACCACCTCTACCACCACTACCATCACCACTACCACCACCACTACCATCACCACTACCACCATCACTACCACCATCACTAACACCATCATCACCACCACTACTACCACCACCACTACCACCACTACCACCACCACTACCATCACCACTACCACCAGGCAAGCTTCAGTTAAAATATCTTAAAGAAAACAAATACTGTTTGAAGATGACCCCACGTCTAGCCAGGAAGTAGTGGGGAGTGTGAGTTTAGAGAGGCATGACGGTCTAGTCGGAAGCAGCAACACCATGCTCTGCTCTGCTTTGTCAGGAAAGGACAGATGCTTCTCCTTTTCCTTCCACTCCACTGACCTCCCAGAGGTCCCTTGCACACTTTCCCTTCCTCTGAAGTGTTGGGGGCGGCATTCTGCCTTCAGTCAGACTCAGGGAGTGCACGCATACACACACACACTCACAGATAGAGACACACACACTGTTTTTTTAAATTATAAAACTACGCCAGCTTATCTCCTCTGTTCTGTCTCAAAGCTACGCCTGTGACATGGCGATAGGCTGAGTTTGAGAGATTCTTTACAATTCTGGATGAAAGGTATGCACAAACATGGATCAAAAGCTGTGCAGTTTACTTTAATGCCATGAGTCTTTATAAACTATGAATCAGATCCACTTTCAGTGAGGTGTTTCCAAGGTGGTCAATGTTATCTATGTAACGTAGATACATCACATTGTACATGTATGGGGTTGAACCCATCTGACATTTGACACACAGCCCAATCCATCACAGCTCTGGAGAAGACTGATTTTGTTCTTTGTGTGAAAGATGTGGTTTTGAAATAAAGCAGGACCCACATTTGTATATCGTAACTCCTATATTAGTGATTTGCAACTTCGAAGGGCGTTCTAGTACTGAACTCCTCATTCAACAACATTATATTTGTTTCTTGAGACTGACAAAATCAGATAGCAGCTTTTCCACTTTTTTATAGGTTTGCTTTGCATTTCTCACTTTCCCATGGTACTTTATGATGCATTGAATACTGACAAACAAAGATGTGTGAACTGGCATTGTTGATGAGGTCAATGGCCCATTTACAGTCAGTGAGCTAATTTAATAACACCCAGAAACATACAGTAAAGCTGATTTAGTAACACCCAGCTACAATAGAGCTTATTTAGTAACACCCAGCTACAATAGAGCTGATTTAGTAACACCCAGCTACAATAGAGCTGATTTAGTAACACCCAGCTACAGTAGAGCTGATTTAGTAACACCCAGCTACAATAGAGCTGATTTAGTAACACCCAGCTACAGTAGAGCTGATTTAGTAACACCCAGCTACAATAGAGCTGATTTAGTAACACCCAGCTACAGTACAGCTGATTTAGTAACACCCAGCTACAGTACAGCTGATTTAGTAACACCCAGCTACAATATAGCTGATTTAGTAACACCCAGCTACAATAGAGCTGATTTAGTAACACTCAGCTACAGTTGAGCTGATTTAGTAACACCCAGCTACAATAGAGCTGATTTAGTAACACCCAGCTACAATAGAGCTGATTTAGTAACACCCAGCTACAATAGAGCTGATTTAGTAACACTCAGCTACAATAGAGCTGATTTAGTAACACTCAGCTACAATAGAGCTGATTTAGTAACACCCAGCTACAGTAGAGCTGATTTAGTAACACCCAGCTACAGTACAGCTGATTTAGTAACACCCAGCTACAGTAGAGCTGATTTAGTAACACTCAGCTACAATATAGCTGATTTAGTAACACCCAGCTACAGTACAGCTGATTTAGTAACACCCAGCTACAGTACAGCTGATTTAGTAACACCCAGCTACAATATAGCTGATTTAGTAACACCCAGCTACAATAGAGCTGATTTAGTAACACTCAGCTACAGTTGAGCTGATTTCGTAACACCCAGCTACAATAGAGCTGATTTAGTAACACCCAGCTACAATAGAGCTGATTTAGTAACACCCAGCTACAATAGAGCTGATTTAGTAACACCCAGCTACAATAGAGCTGATTTAGTAACACCCAGCTACAATAGAGCTGATTTAGTAACACTCAGCTACAATAGAGCTGATTTCATAACGCCCAGCTACAGTAGAGCTGATTTAGTAACACCCAGTTACTGTACAGTAGAGCTGATTTCGTAACACCCAGCTACAGTACAGCTGATTTAGTAACACCCAGCTACAGTAGAGCTAATTTAGTAACATGAGGACACACATAGGAAATGCTGAGCAGCAATGATAAATAAAAAACTACTTCCCTCAATTCTTCCTGTGACTGAACCCAGTAAAAATAGAAAATAAAAGGCAGAAATTAAAGAAAATGATAGGGGTGGTGCACTGCGAGAAAGCAAGCACTCAAGCCAGTAAAAAAATCTAAGGATAGGATTGTGATTGAGACGTTACATTGAGAGTTGGGCCAATGTCAAATGTGTATGTGGTGACGATGAATAATGGAGAGTTTACTGTACCCTAAGCAAAAACCACTCAGTGGGGATGCTAAACGTCAAAGTAATGACCTTCAAACCAACTATAGACAGCTGGGCAACAACTATGACAACAAAGAAACATGTTTTATACAGACTACATGAGTTGTATTTTTAGGAGACATTCTAACAGGAAAGGTAAGGATAGAAGCAGGCTGGGCCCTGTGGTCTCCTTTCTAATGTCAGAGTGTGTTTAGGGGCAGACCACAGACTGGCTATGACCTCTACTTTGGATCCCATACACTCTTCTCTTGCACCCGACCCTCCTTTGACATGCTTAAATAGTCAATGCTTACTGGTGAATAAGAAATGTACGCTTCAGCTAATAGATTGTCACTTTCACTTGATCCACACACAAGCACGCACGCACGCACACACACACACACACACACACACACACACACACACACACACACACACACACACACACACACACACACACACACACACACACACACACACACACTTCATGGGTGTTCTGAATCTAATGAATGAAAACATTGGGAGACTGAGCTGTTTAAGATCAGTCTATAACTTTCCTTTGTGTCTGGCAGCGGAAGCCATAACATTTTGTGTGGTTATTTTCAGTCATTTTGCTCAATGTTTCCCAGCTCCAGTCCTCCAGTACCCCCTACAGAACACATTTTTGTAGCTCCAGACAAACTCCCCTGATTCAACTCATTGAGGGCTTGATGATTAGTTGACAAGTTGAATCAGGTGTGCTTGTCCGGGCTACAACGAAAATCTGTGATGTTAGATACTCAAGGACTTGGGAAACACTGAAATAGCTGATGCCACGACTTCAGGCCAGTGTCAATCAATATATAGCGCCCCCTATAAGAATAGATGGAACATTATCCACGGTTCCAGATGCATGTCGCATCTGGATGGGGTGGCTGTTCAGGTGGAATCCTTCTTGTGTAAGGAGAGGTAGTGCATATGAAAATAAATACGACCAACTAGTACACAATATCAGTGGAGGGCAAGACAACGTCATAACCGAGTCTCAAAGTATTTTGCAATGTGAGCGATCAATAAATGAAAGCACCATACAACAAGAAGTAGGTAGGCTAGCTGCATGATATGGAGAGTGATAAAGGCAGGCAACTCCTTTTTTAATCGACAGAACCGTTATTCTACTTACCCTGGTAGTTTGCATACATTCCTGCCTTTGGGATTGAGTTCTTGGCTGAAACTCGACAAAAATGAACAAACCACCAAAACTGCAAAAAAAATATTCAATTCCATTTTACAAGAAACAGCATCCTTCTAGACGCCTCTTTCACGCATTCCTCATCTCCAGAAAACGTTATCCTACTATTGTGTTATCCGGGGTTTCTTTATGTATAATCCACGGCGATAAAAGGTGTTTATTTGTTATTGTGGGAACTTCAGAAACTTTATCCAAGTATGGTATAATCCAGGTTCCATTTGCGGAGAAAAGGCTTACCACCGAGTTGAAACAAAGTGTAGCGACACCAAACCACGCAGAGTATAGTTCCAAATAAATTATAAAACCCAAACATAAACACGCAATTCGATCTCCTCGAATTATGACTTTCTTTCATTGCAGATTTGTAATAGAGAACTATTCGTTATTCCATACATTTTCAAAAGAATAGGCAAGAAGGAAAGAGACACCAGGAAAGTAGCGGAAGCCAACAGGCATCCTTCTTCGACAATAGAAGCAGCCGCTTATTGCCACCAACCATGATTTGACCACAAATCTTGTTTTGTGCCCAGTGGAATAACTAAGCTAACAGCAAACGAGTAGAAAACGGGCCGAGGCAAAATGTCAAATTTTCTTTAAATCAAAGATGAATATAGTTTTATTCCGTTATTGTCTTCTCTTTCTTGGGCTCTCAGGAGTGGCGGAGGGAAATTCCCGATGTAGTCTAGTTTATCCTTGGCTGCAGTTACAGAGTCAAGTGGATTTACTTTTCGTGCGCCACAGTTGATTTCCTGTTCTGAGAAAATAAGCCATAAAGCAACTCATAACAGTGGGTGTGCCACATGTGGACAAATAGACAATATTATGATATAGT